TAGCATTCACGGTTTCAAATATTCGTGAATGCCAAACCTGCATCTTAAATACACTTAAGGGAGCCCCTCAGGAGCTCCATGCTTGCTGCTGCTGGGGTCCTGCCGCCACCATGCTCCTGCCGTTGCCAGCACAGCCGTGCCCCCCCCCGCCCCGCCCAGACGCCGGGGGCGCTGTACGTTCACGAACGCTGCCTGCGTTCATGAACAGTGCCTTATTTGTGGATTTCGCCATTCGCGGGGCATACGAGAACGTATTCCCCATAAATGGCAAGGGTCTCCTGTACTTGCAATGCCATCAAGTCTTGCAAAGGAAGTACAGATCTCTGATCACAGAGACTGACAGGTAACTAGAGAGAATTTTAAGTACATTGGGTAAAAATCCTAACTCTACTGGTGTCAGTGACAAACTCCAATGATTTATAATTGGAGACAAAATGCCACCCTGTTTTAAGCTAATTTTATTGTAACTTAAAGTTTGCATATAATTTTCATTATCGAGGGAGAATCTTAACACATTTTAGACCTTTTCCAAATTTTTCATTTTACCCTTAGGGGGAAAGGACTGACTGATCTGTCCATTGCAAAGAAGTAACTGTATTCTGTACTACAATGTGTGTGTTCACTATTTACCTGCTTGTACAAACTATCATGCAGCTTTTTTGACAATGTCCCTTAAGAATTTTCTTTTAGTATTTAAGTTTGACTTAAACTAGGCACCATTCAGATATAATCCGAGTATTCAATTTATATTAAGAGGAGTTTTTTCTGTATTTTTTTTCTACAAGTACACATGTATTGATAACAATAGATGTTATTGAACATCCTGTCAAGTACAAAAATTATCTTTGTAGAATTTTTAACATCTGGATTATGTGAAAATAATTAAGGTGTATTATTTAAATGTGGATCACTCTCTACTGACCCCATCTGGAATAACATCTATAGGTGTTTTTTCCTTGGATAGCTTAGTACAGGAGTTATCAATCGGGAGTACTCATACTCCCGGGGGGATACTTAGAAAGGTCCCAGCAGGTGTGCAGGGGCAGGCAGGGATGGAGCGCTGCCATCCCGTGCCGCTGCCGCACTGGAGCAGGGCCAGGGCAGGGCGAGAGCAGGGTGTCACTGATGCTGTGCTGCCGCCGCTTCGCCACTTGCCACCCCCCAGCTCTGCATCTGGGCGCTCGCCCCCCTGCCCCTCCCTGCATCTGGCCGGTTGCCATCCCACCCTGCCTTCTGGGTACACTTATTAAAAAAGGTTGAAAACCCATGGCTTAGTAATATATTACATTACTAGTACACTGTATGCTAGTAGCAAGGCTAGAATGCTCTCATCAACTGATATATTGGAATATTTTTGGGGAAAGAATTCACCAAAGACATTGATATAAGCAGAAATTCTGCCCAATGAATGAAATAAGCAGAATTTCTGCCCTTTTGATTTCTGGTAAGATAACATGCACCTAATTCTTAAATGACGGTAGAATGTTTTTTGTCACCCTACACTGAGCCCTAGGAGAAATCACAGATATTGCCATAAATCTTTATGGATCATGTAGCTTTAGTAAAATGTTAGGCAACCTGAGTTAATTAACAATCAGTTAAGTTAGGTCCCAGCCATAAATTGTAGCCTAGACATACCCTACTCTTTTCTTATGATGTTTTTCAGTATCTTTCTTGCTTTGAATTATTGGTTTATTATTTAAACATGACAGCAACCCAAACCCTGTATGGATTAGAACCATGATTCTCTAACCATGCATAGACAGATCTAGCAATTATATCTATATCTCGTAAGTGCTACCTCCATACGATTCTGTAGTGATATAAATGTAGCAGAACCCTGGCAACTCTAACTTTGACTTTGAATGAAACAGAGTTCATATGATATATCTAACATATTGCTACAGGATCCTGTAGGTATGATGGTTATATCATAACAGCTGATGTATGCTCCTGAGTAGCAGCCAGCTCCCCTTCACTTATAAAGTAGTTAAATACCATAGTTTCTCACATGCTGCATGCACCTTTTCCCCAAAAACATCTCTGGAAATTGGGTTGTGAATTATATGTGAGGAAATACAGTAACAACAGTTTCATACCAGGAAAGTGCAATTAATTCTGTGCACAATTCACAGGGAGCAGAAGAGTCTTGTTCCCAAGTTGCTGCTACAGTTGCTTACTACAAGGAAAGATCATTTTTCTTCATTTTGCCTTTAAAAAACAAGGTGTTTATCTTATTCTGAGGCATGTTGTATGTGAGAGAATGTGAAAGTAGGTTTGTCTGTACCCTAAAACCTTACTTTTGCGTGCAGCCCTTATTCACTTCTCGTCAAAGTCAATCTTTAAAACTACCGCTAAGCGTTTGTGCCTAATCCCATCCTCATCGCCATGTGCGGGCCGGGAGCGACCCGAGCCCTTTTCCGTGCTGCACGCGGGCTGTGGCCAGCAGCCCGGGCACGCTGGATCGGAGGGGGAGGGCGACGAGCTGGAATTAGGCACAAACGCTTAGCGGTAGTTTTAAAGATTGTTTACTTACACTGAGATGGCAGTGGTGTAGGCTGGAGAACTTGCTTGAGTTGCGGTTACAGACACAGACAACACGGACGGTCGCGTGGAGTTTGCTAGGCTCCATGGAACAGAGCTCCGGATGCTCTGGGTGAACGCGCCACCAAAATCGAAATCGGAGATACGTCTTATAAAATTTGCGATCGAAGACGGGAAGAGGTGGGCGATGGATCAGGTCGCCAAGCTCCTCTGAATCTCACACAGGGTCTCTATTACCCTGCCGTGTATCCAGAGTCCCCACGAGATGGATGTGGAGTGCTCTTCGGCTTGGGCGGAAACCGCTCAAGCCTCTTATATGGCTAGCCAGGCAATCGGTAGGACCCACGTGGGGATAA